AACGCTTGTCAGGCGTAAACCCATCCCGTTCTGGAACACTGCTGCCGAAACATTCGCCGGAACTGGAAATACCCGAACCACCCAGCTGACACCTCGAACGTAAAACTGCAAAGCCCAAAACACCTCAAAACGGCGTGTGTAAAACCGAAAATTTCATTTTCTTCCCATGTATTTCGTTTCTCCCCTCTTTTGCCATGGTTCTGATAGCACATTATCGTTAATCAGCTGGCAACTCGAGGCGGTTGTTCTGCAAAGCAGCCTAAGTAGTTTGGTCTGCGTACTGATTACACGGGAGTAAATATGATGAATTTCGACTAATACCATTCAAATCCCTTTACTCCCTTCTATTCAGTAACTCAGTCATGTCAGTCGTAACGGTCCCTCGTAGCTCAGTGATGTTTACGACAGGCTGGTAACAGTCGACTTGCTGGGTCACTCCTCGTCACGATCAGCCCGAACGCACAGTGCTGATTGTTCCCTAAAGGTTCGTAAACTGTTTTGGGTTAGAACAATATCGTCAGTCTATTATAAGCCAAGAGGCGGATTTACGCCTAAGTTGCGTCCGTTGAACGCAGTTCCCATGATCACGTAATTCCCGAAGGAATGGTAACTGTTGACATCCGTATCTCACACCGCTAGAGATATTGAGGGATAGTCATGAGCCCCCACTACCAGAACTACGCGCGTTGTAAACCCTGGTAATGTTTACGTATTTCCTCTACACATCTTTCCTGAGCAAAAGTACCAAAGGGTACATTGACTCACTGAATCGAAGACAACTTTGGGGGCGAGGAACGCGATTACGATGGGTCGCCAGTATAAGTGGTAGTGTTCTAACAATTAACGTGAAGTGAGTATGTGATCGATGCAGCCGCGGCTTGCTCTTCCCTAGCTTGGTCTTCACGGTGATCAGTCCGTCTGTAAATAATGACAGAGGCAAGTAACTTGGAGGCGATAGTGATCAGACCGATTCCTCTATGGTGACTGCATTTCGAACGTGAGCTTTCCTTGAAAAGGCTACAGCGGAGCGGCTCCAATCGATTGGGAAACTTTCCTGCTCTCACTGCTTCACCAAGACGTCATGTAAATCATCCACAAGAGCAGGTGTCCGAATTTAAAGAGGATTGGACCAGGATCATCTGGTCCGATTTGACATGCGTTTGCGCGAGAGGGCGGATCCAAAGGACAGTTTAGGGGATAGTGCAATCCTTGGCTGGCAACGAGTCTGGTAATTCTGGCGGAATAAATTGTTGTTCAGATTTCTCAGACCAGCACTCCGAGCGTTCCGACAGTTAATCCATTGGCTGCTCCTCCTTGTCGCATATAGTTTCACTGGCAACATGTCTCCTACCAGTTTCCCGTGTCAGATCTGTTAACTTCTGATTGTTACCAGTTTCTGCTGTTTCCCTTTTGGACGCATTATGAGGCCACCAGGCTTCCTAGCATTTTTTCAGGCTAGCACGCAGTTTCACTCTCATATTTGTGCGTTTCCTGTTTGCTGCAGTCCGGAACGTTTCAGCGAATATCCTGAAATTCTACAAATTTTCTGCATAAGCAATGCCCAATTTAGCAATCAGGTCTGCCATACGAGCAGATACTGGCTGCTAATACGCTCTGGTGAACCTGTGAACGATGGAAGTCAACTGTGTCCCGTGACTGCTTACTCTACCTGCTTGCTCCAGCTGGAACCCACTCACATACCAGCACATGCAAGCTAGTGATCAGTGTCCACACCTGTGCTCCAAATTGATCAGATGTTTTGGACACCTATCCACCGGTGATTGATAGCCTATTGATGGATTTGCGTCTACTGCTCATCTGAGGCTGGTGGGCGCTATGTCACCCACCTACGGGCGCTGTGTCTGAAGTCACTGTTTGTGAGAAATAGACCCACATGTTCTTACAGATGTGAGAACCACGCACCCTCGTCATGGCTGGAAGGTGCACTGTGTTGGACGTTCAGATAAAGCTCATCTGATAAAATTTTCCAACTTGCGCGTTCAGACCACATCATACCACTTCAGTTGAACGATCATGACCCGGGTGCAGAAGTGCGGTAGATCCAGTTGCCTCGACTCACGTCGCCAGAACAACAATAAATAACAGCTGTAGGAAAATGAGATCGAACGCACCAGAATGTGCAGCAAATGAAATCAAGAAAAAGTGCATTAAACTAATCGGAATGGAATGAAGGTTATCGGTTGGATGCAAGAAGTCTAATCCAACACATCTGACCGAGTGACTACCCCATGTCTGATAGTCTCTAACCACAGGAGCCCATTCATGAAGACAACACACACTAGGCCGATAGAGTCTCCCAGTCCATCTTTTCAAGCTCTTGACCGTAATCGCACTTATGTCATCATCGACTTGTTGCCTCTTGCCTTCGCCTAACTTTGTGCAGACGTGGTGTATAATGCATGTTGAGGAAGTCGGTCAAAGCACAAACGGAGGACATGACCAACCCAACGTAGGCAGTCAACATCAGCAAGCATTCGAATGATGCGGTAGGTTTCTTGCCTAAAATCAATAGACGGGCCTTAGGAACCTTCGCTCGGTGTTCTCGCCAGATGCAAGCAATATTCTACAAGCATCGGTAGTCAAACAAGTTCAAGCGTTTTATATCTTCACTTTAAGCCGGTAACCTCTCTGATCCCTACAGTAACACTGGACATTATAGTGTTATACAGCCTACCTTTCATTGCCAAGCTGATATCCCGTCGTCTTTATAGAGGGCTGAGCCTCTGAAAAACCACACTGATCTTGCTGATACGCGAATTAACCTCATCAGTGATGTGACCACCACAGATGACACAACTACCAAGCTGAATGTACTGATGTACCACTCCCAGCGGCTGTTCAGTGATAGCTAGAACCGGTGGTGTATCGGTCCAGTTCTGTAACTGCACTTTGAGGGTACAAAGTACATGCCGAAGTGTGCAGTGCTACGGGTCAGTGTATCCAATATTGTTAAATTGCCACTGCGTCAGACCCAAGTTGAGCTATTTGTCTGCGTGCTCAAGCTTTGTCAGTCGGTCACCTGGCAGTACCTCCACTCCGGTAGAGTCCGAAACAACCGATTAATTCATGATCACTTGGATAATGGAGTTGAAGAGGAAAGCACTTATGGGACAACCCTGACGAATCCTACTTGTCGCCAGAACTCAGGAGACAGCTTCGCGTAAACTGATATTCGGCCTCGTCAGTCGCGGTAGAGAGTTCAGAATGAAAGGTTGTTTTCCTGCACCTCCTTCCTCGATAGACATGCCACAAGCTGTCACGATCACCCGAGTTGAAGGCGGCTTTCAAGTCAAGGAAAACCACCATAGTCATTTGTCTATGTGTCTGCTCTAAAATTTAACAACGACGAGACTGGACCATTACATGGTATGACGCTTTGCGTACCTTGTCGATCCATTGAGCTATACTGGGTGGGGCCATTGGGTCTCTTAAGAACTATTCCCACCATGTTGGTCAGTGAGTAGAAGTCAGACGAACTCAGCCTCCTGGTCCTTCAGGTTGGGGGTTTGAAATGGGATGGGGTCCATTTCTGTAAAACTAAATCATCGCCACCTCCCTGCTGACTTGCGGACAGGCTTTTGAGCCAAAGGCTTTGGATGAGGACCCTAATGGTCCTCCTGGCTAGATCTGGACACCCTGGCAGTATCTCAGCCTACATACAACCATGACTTTTTCTTCGAATATGAACTTCATCCTTAGATCCTTCTCTCCCCGTTACTACTCTTCATTCCTTAGAGCACCGTGGTTGTACGGCAGTGGAACATCGGCCCAAATGGCTGATGTACTGCTGTTGAACATAATCGCGACGGTTGACAGTCGATGTTAGACGAAACAATTTGGAATGAGGCTGTTGATTTTAGAAACGAGTTACGTGTACCGATAGCAACAGCTGCGAAGTCAGCTGCAGTCTTGCCCGATATATGGGGAAGAAGTGATTGAGAGATAAGAAGAAAGAGCATTGCTCACGGGGTCAAGAAGGTAGATGCTGTTTTCCGTCTGCGCATTCCGAGAGGATTTTTGCCATGTTTTCCACCTCTAGCCTTTGACTCAACAGTTTGATCCACAGTGCTGCGATGGGGTATATAGAGATTCGCTTGATACATTGCACGCACGCACCTATCATTAGCGATTGGGTTGATGTTTTGGTCTGGACCAGTCTAACGAAACGCATCCGGACACCGATTGAAATGGATCTTTAAATCAGGTAGCCAGCGTACCACGTTATTTTACAGCCGCATTGCGACGGACTGGAAATCTTGTTAAGCGGCCTCTGTTTTTCGACAACATCTACTATGTATTGCTGCGTCTCTTTTAAACATGGGGCGAGCGCCATTTAAACCTTCCAGTTGTCATGTGTCCATGAAGCTGATATCCGCTGTCCTTTTCATATTTTCATACCTACGTCCTCACTGTGTAGTATTTAGCAGCGTTTTTGTCCTAGTAACTCATCATCTCTTTCCTCTTGAATTTTGTCCTCCCGATTTACAGCACATATGGTTTCAAGCGCTATCGACGGTGACTCAGTCAGTCACATCTTTTCGTTACCATCCATGCTCGCCTAGCCTATCCGTATACCAGTTTTTATCGTTCTCTGTGTTCAACATTCTCCTTCATTATTTTCTTTTTTATTAATATGCTTCCTATCCCAGGGTCTGGACACAAATGTGTCTATTGTCCTCGTTCCACGATTGATTGTCACTTAGCTGGAATTTGCAGTGTTACCACTATTCCAGTGCTTATTTACTCATCCTTTTTCTATGCTGTGGCTTACAACACTTTCGTATTCGATTTGTGTCCCAAGGAACCGTTGTTCCTTCAAAAATACCTTAATGCGGCTCCAATCGCCAATTTGTATGTGGTTCAGTTTAAAAAGTATCGCGTTTTGGATCAAGATCGCACATCAATCAGCAAATGTATCAAAACGATTCGCTAACATACATTCTTTTCACTGAAACGTTTATTGGTTTCATCTTTTACAGCCTCACGTTCCACCTACCGCGCGTTTCAGTGATTCTCTTCTGTGGGACTTCGATCCACTACTTCAAAAGTCCGAAGGTTTGTCTTGCTCTGGCTAACTTTTTAGGCTATTTTTCTGAGATTTTGTTTTACATCTACTTGTTGGTTATTAGCTTGATTTACTGAACAGAATCGTTCACTATCCTACTTTCTTCACTCTACTCTTCGTCACCAGGTTTACTACCGAAGCATGTAGGTGTGCGGAATGAGATGAAACTATCCATACGACAGCAATTATGGGATAAGAATTTCCTTTTTGTTGTTCTCACCGATTTCTTCTATCTCGTAACTAGTGCCATTCAGCTGGTTAATCACTTCAGTTTTCTTAGCGGTTACGTTATCTGCGAGGGGCGCGTGGCATCTGAAGTTTGTGCACTCATTACGAAAGCGTGGTTCGTCTTCTTGAACCTGCAACATCTTGAACCTGGCATCATAATAAGATTTTCTCGCGTCCTGGTGTACTAAACCGCAATGAATGCTATACTACTCTGTGGGATTTGGACTTCTGTCTGATCATCCGAGCCATCTCCAAGTCTTTGATCATTGCACTGGCGTTTCCGCAACCATGATATGCGTAAGCGGATCCTATGCTGTAATTACCTGGTTGGTTTCTTGGAACAGAAAGTAGCATTGATTAAGTTAAGTTGGCTTTGGCGCGTGCCGCACATACACGATCATCGCCTATCGATGGGAGACTCAATTTTTCTGGATTTGGGTGCTAGCGCAAGGCTCCGAGTAAGCAAAAGTTGATTTAGTATACAGACATGATGCGATTGACTACTAGACTTGCTGCTGTCTGTCTTTCTGTCCTTCCAGATTAGAGTCCACGCGACTTGCCCCGTTGTGCGCTTGCTGTCGTGTCTTAATCGGATTATCTGTTTGCACCGTATCTTGTGCTGAAATATGTTCCGCAGCTCTATTACCGACTCTGACTATTTTCTTGTGACATAGGTTTTTCTACACTAACTCCTCCCCCTTCCTTATTATTATTATCCATTCCCTTGCTGTTTGACGTCCTACTGCAGCGAAGCATCAGTTCGAGTGTCTGATGTACTTCAATAAATGGTGCTGGTTGTATGGCCTGTGGAATCGGTTTTCGCTGTCTTTTTCCAGCGATGTCACACATGCACGGGTGCCATCTTCTCCAGTTCCCATGGCTTTTACTTGCTGCACTTAATAATCATGCCACCTGATGGGTCTTGCAGTACTTGCCTTGTGCCTGCATCGGGACACTCGACTTCAGTTTGACCCAGGATTTGTTTTCTAGTAAACCTTGGTCATTCCAATCAATGCATCCGACGTAGGGAGTTTCGGTGTCACTCGATCTTAGGGCTGCACTTCACCACCATTAGCGTCTTTCAGCTAGTTGTAGAGTACCGAAGTCTTGATCATTCGAGCACAGAGTTCAGCGGGCAACATTTGTCAAAGTGGCTAGAATTTCGCCGTTGGTTTTCGGAGTATCCATCCTATGTTTCGATTCCTCATCAACAGTGGTACATCAGCCAGTTGGATGATGCTTTGCTGCCATACACCCACTGTGCCCTAAGGAATGAAGAACACTAAGGGGAGAGAAGGGAGACCTAGCGTAAAACCTTAGTACCATAAGCAAACATTCAGGGTCAAGGCGCCTACACCTTGTCAGCAACATACCGTCACAACCAACTGGATATCGTGGAAAGATGAGGCGGCATCGCCAAGACAGCTTCTTTGCGGCTTTCTCTGCACCACGGCATAATCAGCCACTCACCACTCAGATAATAACCTAATGAATAGTAATGATAGCATGTGAATGTCCACCTTGTTGATCTGTTTAGCTCACAAATGTACTCATCGATCCTGTGCACACAAATAAATAAATTAATAGGTATATTTCTTAACCGAGAGCAGAGGGGGCTACCCTGTCCGCTGCACGGCAGTAACGTGTAAGTCAGTGGATAGTGAGCGGCGCTATATCACATCAAGTAACTTATTCACGATGATCGTTGCGGTTCCACGTAGCTCAGTGGTCTCAATCACGGACTGGCAACAGTCGAGTTGCGGGTTCGAACCCTACCAAGGGTCCGATGGAATGCGCACTGCTGATGATTCCCGAAAGGATGAAACGCGCGTACAGTGCTTTTCCGGGCGTGTGGCGGCTGTCTGAGTGAGTCTAAATGTGACGAATTTCAACCTATACCATTCAACTCCCCCTACTACTGTTCTCAAATACAAAAGTTGTATGCCAGCTGAGCTACAAGCAACGGATAGGCATCGTTCCGGCAAGCTACCAGCCAGCTACTAGGCAAAATGAAAAATTATTATGTTTTACGCTAAGAAATGAGGTCGTAGGTGGAGGGGGAGGCTAAAAGGGATGGAGAGGGACAATGGAACTCACAGCAGGAACGCCACTGAGGTCGGCTCCTTGCCATGTCAGCAAGTGTATCCAGCCAAACATGTTCACCATCTTTTGGGCCCCAACCAGGGAACCGTGACGCTCCAATCGAGGCCAGCACAGAAGTGAGGGCCTTCATTCCTCTTGACCAAGTCATCGCTTGGCCACCCCTCTTCTTCTTCCATCCACATCCCCGGTGAGCAAACAACGCACTTCGTGGAAGTCGATGGGCTGACATGCGCAACACGTGGCCCAGCCATCGGAGCCTGGTGCGTGAAATGACGGTGCTGAGCGGTTCAGTTCCTTTTCCTGTGACGTTAACAAGGCGTCGAACACGCTTGTTACTCACGCGGTGTTCCAACCACATGTGAGCCAAACTGCGAAGGCACCAATGGTCGAACGTAACTAGCCTCTTCATGTCCGCCGATCTTAGGGGCCAGGTTTCGCAACCGTACAGTAAGGTCGAACGTACTGCTGCATTGTACACTCTACCCTTCAGGGCGAGAGTGATGTCGCGCCGCCGCCATAGGTGGCGAAGGTTAGCAAAAGCACTTCGAGCTTTCGCTACACGGTTCGTGATCTCGTCTTCGATCCCAAAGGCACTGATACAACTTCCCAGGTAGTTGAATTTTTGAACGACTTCTAGCTGATCCCCACCAGGAGTCAGCGCAGGAGGCGATCCCTGCCAATCTTGGAGGAACGCTTTGCATTTTGATGGTGCAAAGCAAAGCCCGAAGCGGCTGACAGCCAGTGCTAATCTGTCCAACGCGGCTTGGCACCTCTGGGAGCTGTCACAGATGAGAGTAATGTCGTCTGCATACTCCAAGTCAGAAAGTCGATCTCCTGGGAGTAGCTACACACCTTCCAGGTCATGTCCTGTAAATGCAATGTCCATGAGATGGCAGAACCATTTGCTGGAGTTGTAATAGTAGTTGCGTTATGCGCGTGCCCACTATCTTTCAGCAGACTAGGTCAGCATTGTCGTTTATGAATATGTGAACTTCTTGTTGGACTCGGTATTCTTGTTGTTAGCTAGATAGTGGCGGTACCGGTGGTCTGTCGAGGTCCACATCTTCGTCAATACGATTGGTGGGTCTGAGAATTTTATCTGTCTGTGATTCGCGTTACGTGCAAAATGATGTTGTATTGGAGTTTAATCACTCTTGATCAGAATGCTCTCAATATGAGTTCGTGCAGCAATTAGTTATTTGTGATGTACAAAATCTTCAGTCTTTATCTCATATGGGGATTCAAGGCGAACAGTGCATGCTCTGATAGTCGTCTGCCTTCGGAGCCTGAGACATACGCAGTTAGAGCAACTCATATTGAATCCCGCGAGCAGGATATTTGTGAGTTTTTGTGTCGTTCAGGTGTGTTGAACACGCATACTTTAATCCGCATATACGTTCCTGAGTTTCCTTAGTGATTAAGGACAAAAGAAAGCCAGCCGTATGTAATGATTCTAATTTCATTGAGGGATAGGGCTTGGTCGTATTTTGCGCCGAAGCACAGCAGTTTGGTTTTCAACTAACAATTTTTCCAGTTATGGCGCGGTCTTATATTTTAGACCCTAAATCAATCCTACTACCAGAGTAGACACTTACTCTTTATTGTCTCTTCGTCGTCTTAACTGAGGTTCCTTGTGTTTTAGTGGCATAAACGTTGCGCTCTGCTTTATTTTCGCGTTTTTTCTTTGAGTAAACTAATGGATTTCGTGTTTTAGTTGAGAATGCAGGCATTTCGGTGCTTTTTCCAATGGGTCCACCTAATGCTAGAACGAGTTATCAGCAATGCGTTTCCCTCAATGCATAATTGACCTCTCAGGAAGTGGCCTTCTTCTGCCATTTTAGTAACACTGCGTCAGAAACCAACCGTTGCGATTCTTGAACTTTTTGTAGATTAGTAGTCGGTACTGAGTGTTGGTGATGGGTTTACAGACCATTTGTGTTTCCTATAATTTGTTGCGATGTCGCTATTTTCAACGCTTTTTGTGGAGCTTGCCCACATTCACGACGAGACATCCACGAATGTCCTGGCGACTATTGTCGTTTCAGGCCTGCTTGTCAGTCCGCAATCTCGGGACAGAGATAGGCGCATATCGACGGTTTCCACCCAAGTGTAAAGCTGTCGGCCTACCTGGTCTGACTTTTGCAGTCGGTCACAACTGAACGAACTGACTGTTGCAATTAAAGCAAATTTCTGCGTAGCTGCTTCTTCATGTGTCGGAAGGGTTTTAGCTTTGTCTTCATAATGATACCACACACAATGTTGTGTTGACGAAATCATATAAAGTTGTACGCGTGAGTCTCCACCATCAAAATGCGATCTATATGTAATGTAGTAAAGTGATAAGCCCGCGAAGTGTTTCGAATCATTTCGAAGCCCGCAAAGATTAGATCCGGATAGGAAATATCAGCGAACACATCTCAATGATTCGAATCGAATGAGTTTAAACAATCTAATGTGCACTGGAATCTTGTGGAGTAATTCCACCGCCTACACTTAGGTTATGGGCCCTATAGAGTGTACTCTTTCAATCGTTTATCGAGCTTAAGCCGTATCAGTTACGAGGGATTATTTTACCAATTTACCACCGTACATGGGTCGCTCAATAATAATTTCCCCTGGCCAAGTTCCTGTGGACCGAAGATGGCGGACGTTTGCACGGATATTAGTCCTCCACATAAGTGCCGCGCAGATTTATTCGTTTCTCCCGTGACTTTATGCAGTTTAATAGACTATCAACGCAGACGTTCTCATAGTGGGACAAGAAACATGACTTGACCTCTGCACTCAAAATATCGTCAGGACGGTGTATTTTTCAATATTTCGATATAGGCTTTTAATCGACTTGGATTCCATCATTTTCAGATTTTGAGTACAAATCGGTTTTCGTAGAGTTTCATTTTGGCAAATCTTCACTCTTGACCCATGAGCTTCTTCAGGCAAGGCGTATCAATACACAATTGGTTTAGCTGTTTGTAGGAAAGTAGGGTGAAGATCGGAAGAAACAACACGAATCATTGGGTAATAGTATTACAGCTCAATGGGTCATTTGGCCATTTTAGTGTAACAACAAACATCGGGCGTTCCTCATTGATCCGCGTCACAGATCGTTCACATGTTAGTCATTCTTCTAATGATTTACGCACTGAGCTGAGTTCGTCCGCCGACACCTTTTCTGACGGGCCGGATTAAGACAGACCGCCACGCGTTTGGTACCTCCACTCCGTCCATTCTGTTCACGCAGTTATTAGTCTTAGTAATCAGTCGCCTCAGCAATCAACCATTGACTTGTTGCTCACAATCCTCTTTTAATTATCTTGACATTGTCCCAGTCGATTTTATGTCCCACGTCTAGCGCTTGTACACAGCCACGGCTATTAGTAGGGATCTGTATTCAGGCTCGATTCTTGGTGGACACGAAACGTGCCTCCTGTGTTCTGTTATCCTCGTGCATACCTCTCTGCCTCTTTGACTTATGCACACATGTTCACAGTCTTTGCAAGTGGTTCTACAGTCGCAGTTGGTTGTCCCACCTCTTGCATGCAGCTCCTTCAAACGCAACGATGCTGTACGGAGCGTTTGACTGTTAAAAAAGCACCCTTATTTTCCCTTGCTTAGTACTGACCTGATTGCTTCTGAGTTTCACCTTTTATAGCTGATTCCTACCGTCCCAATCCACTCCGTCGTGCGTTGCGAAAGTGGATTTAAACCTCTGGGCAACTGACGTGGATATCCGTGGCATCTATAGAGTCATTTGCAAAGACTGTGAACACATGTACATAGGTCAAAATGCCAGAGAGGTATGCACGAGGATAACCGAACACAAGAAGCACGGTTCGCGTCCAAATAGAATCGAGCCTGAGTACAGAGCCCTACTAAGAGCCATGGCCATACAAGTGCTAGATGCGGGACACGAAATCGACTGGGACAATATTGAAATAATTAGGAGAGGATTACGAGCAGCAAGCCATAGGTTGTTGATTACTGAGGCAGTTGATATTACTAAAACGAATGGCTGCGTGAACAGAACGGGCAGGGTGGAGTTATCAAATGGCCCGTCAGAAAAGGTGTCGGCGGATGAACTCAGCTCAGTGCGTAAATCATCAGAGGAATGCCTAACATGTGAACGATCTGTGACGCGGATCAATGAGGAACACCCGATGTTTTTTCTTAAAGTAGAACGGCCAATTGGCCTATTGACTTGGAACACTTTTATCCAATGATTCATGTTATTTCTTCCGATCTTCACCCTACTTTCTCACAAGCAGCTAAGCCAATTGTGTACCGAATCGTCTGGCCCGAAGAAGCTCTTGCGTTAAGCACGAAACGTTGCCAAAATAAAAACTCCGAAAACCGATTTGTGTTCCGCATCTTTTGACGTCAATCAAGTTTCGTTTTCTTAGAAATATCTTTATATTTGGAAAGAGTTGAAAATCAGGTTTCGTAAGGTCTGAAGAGTAGGCTGAGGAAGTGCTACATATCCACGGGACGGTACTACTGACACTTTTGGAAAGGAAATCCATTATTACTACTCCATAATGGTTCCAGAATACTGTGAACATAAATTTGATTGCTGATTCTTGGACATCTGCCTTCTTTGGAGGTGGTAAATCATTACGTTTCGATGGTTTCGACTAAGCTTCGGTTTCTTAATCATCGTGATGCAGCGGTTTCATCTCATACAATTTCCTTGCTGAAAAATGTATCCTGGGTTTTCTGACACATGATCAAATAATTCCGAGAACACGTGATCCTTTCTTCTTTCTAAAAACGCGTGGGCATCCGAGAACCCTTATGGATGACATCTTTCGCTTGCTCAAATAATCGTGGGTACTTTTTTCCCCAAATCTCCCACTAATCTTGTCATTTTAGGCTCTTTGGCGTTGGATTACAGGGTGATGATGAAGAATGGAGGGCCTAACTTGTTGGACGGTGTGCTCGTCAATTGCAGAGAGGGGCGACCGGATTTACAACCGGTCTCCATTGAATTCCTACTGCATTTAATCGGGCATTGTAGTTTTTATGTCTCGTATGATGCTGCATTGTCGGCTTATATGGTGTTTGGACGTTTAAATGGTGATTCTTGATAACTGATTTGTATTTAACCGCGTCCATTTTGAAACCATTCTTTAAATCAGAACTTGCGCAATGAAAACAGTTATTTTCGGGGTGGCGCAATTTGTATATTATCTACTTACATACGTATCTTCATACGTTCCCGATTTTAACTCTCTATGTATTCTGGAATATGGTCAGGAAAAATCTTTATTGATCGACGCACATAAGTTTGATTTGTTAGGTCTACCAAATTTACTTTTTCTTGCTTTCAACCCAGTTGTTAGTGCAGTATTCTTCAGTCTTCCGAATGATCGTGTGGCCAACGCAGAGTACGCGAGCGATGTGACGACTTGATTCACCTATTGTAATAACACTCCCTCAATGGCGTTTGTGTTGTGAGTTCCTTTGCCCATCCCCCTCCTGCTTAGCATCCCCCTCCAATCACGATCTCACTTGTTAGGCATAATATGACTCTCTTTTACGGCATCCAGCTGTTAGCTCTCCGGAACGATGTCCATCCGTTACTGGGGACTCAGCGGGCGTGCCACTGTTTTCGTTTTCTTGTCTTTTGTATTGCGGCACAATAGCTGAGGTGTTTTCCACCTCCAGCGAACGTGTAATGATGACGTGATAGCACTCCGGAATGGCAATTACTTCATGTACCGATCTAAATGGGCACTCATAGTGGTCACTCGCTTTACCTATCCAGGCAACCGCATCGATCTTGTCTTCAGAAACAGATAACTACTAATTATGAAGACTCTGTTAACTTGTCAACCTATCTCTCCCCGGATTTAACTGACGCGACACAGGCTCATCCATAGAGGACTCAGCGTACAGCCATGTGCAGCGTCAAATGTTGCACAGAAACGCGAAGCGACTATTCATCCTTAGTCATCGTTACTGGTGACCAAGCATCCTTCGATTTTTTTTTGCTTCTACCCGTTTTATGCTACCCGCGCTATTATTCCGCAAGTCTTGTGGTTATAAGTTGATACGAGAACGGCTGCGATGGTAAACCTTCAATCCCGTACGGAAATATACCGATCCCGGTGACATTGTCGATTTCAGTCTCATCAGCCCCATTGTTTGCCCATAATTATCCTCGTATTTCTTCGCCCCCTGCGACATGTGTTTTGTAACTACTTTTGTTTTTTTCCCATTTCGTGGTTGCTGTATCTACTTCAGTATCCAGGACTTGTTTCACGCATGGGGATTTTGGCCCCGCTCTCTCACCTACTCCTCTGTTAATCTTGCTCTCTGTGCACTAGTTATCCATCCTAATCTCCACTTGCTCGTGTACTTATTGAGTTGTGGATTTTAGGATTTTACGAATACCGCCTACGTATACTTTAGATGTAGAAATGCGCCGAAAACGTCGTCAATTTTGGTCAAATTTCGCACTAAATTGGCTTGTAGTCTAACTTTATTCGTAGTTCAGTGATCAGTGGGGTAGAGATCTCGGCTAACATTCTGATAGTCCCGCATCCAATGTCTGCTCTATCTCTCTGGTCAGATCAAATTGATTGAAACGCGTTGTGAACTGCGATTTTTTCTGGTGGGTAACACCCACTATATACATATCCTTATTCTTATTTCTGATTGGACTATTAGTGTTACTTTATTAAACACTAATTTCAACTTTACTGTCTATATCCTCTCACCACTTTTGTCGCACAGATGTCTGCTCTATCATCCGTTGAGTTTACTGTAGCCTTCTATTAACACTGCGTTCTTTCGCACTCTGTTTTTTTCAGTACCGATCTTCACGGCATCGTTGAATAGATCTCAAATGCGGGATAGGTGAGTAATGGTCTTTTTCTATGTATCTGGATGGTTCTGGAAACTGTATGAGCCAAAACATGAAGAATTCAGTGCACTGCACGGCTTCAGCTGTGCCGGCCATGCAGCTACTTATATTGTGAATTGGGCATCGTCCTAACTGTGCTTCGTTGTTGCCACACGACATACCTCTTAGGGTGACCCTACCTTGGTGAGATTTTCCGGGGTTACGAGCTACCGGTAGTGTGGTCTATACTGTTGCTTTCGAATCCGACGATGCTACTCTGCACTTCGTTTAGTTCCGTTATACTACAGCACTCGAAGTGCGTAGCTACTGCTCTGCAACACCGAAAACAAGGAATTGTAGAGGTATGCAATTCTCTATCTGTATTGATGTGCGTGTGTAACGGATGTTTGTTAACGAACCAGTGGCGCTACTCAATCGCTTCGTCCAAGGACAACAACGAACACTGGCCTAAATTGCCATATCTCAGGAGCTCTGATCTCATTGCCAGTTCTACTTCTACCGTGCTCTTGCCGAACCAATTTTCTCCCATCTAGGTCGTGTTTATTTGCGGGTACAATAAATGTATCCAACCATATTCCAGGATTTTTTTCTCTTCTGCTTCACAAGCACATTGCGATTAGGATTAGGCGACATCCAGCATCGGACTGAACATATGTCAGTTGAGTAGCCACTCAGTTCAAGTTTGTGTGGCGCAAGTGCGAGGTGATTTAGGACTTACGTTTACTTTCATTCAGTGCCTGCGAGCTAATGAAAGGCGTCCAGGAAAACAAAGTCAAGTGTTAGCTAGTCAGACGAGTGGCTGTGCTCACCATCGATCACAGTATGGTTTTGACTCTCCTCTCTTTCCCTCGGCGAAGTTTGGTCTCCTGTGTGTTAACGATTTATTTGTTTAGACGCGTGCTACGATTGCCTCAGCCGAGACTCATGCCAACCTTCTCTAGCCTGTGTGTAATTTTCTTTTGTTTGCTTGGTTTCCTTGGTCTGATTGATCGTGATCGAACATGCACCACGCGGCTGCCTACCAGCGGAATCTTCCGTTGGTCTCTTGTGAAAGACTCAACATTAACACTCACCGACTTGATTCATGAGACAACCTTACGTTCACTCTATCCCTATCCTTGCAGCATTTTTCCAACAAACTATCAACTATATATCTTTTTCTACATCTCATTTTCTTCGGAACTCAGAAGTTTTACTCTGCGTAACACCATACAGTAAATTGGCTATCGATTTCATTGGACAAATTTTTGCCAGAGTTATGGTGCTGAAATGAATTGGTTCATTTCTATGTGGCGTAGGCAAATGGCCTCGGTAATAGATGGCAGTTGTTTGCGGAAGCACCACGAGTGACGTTCAGGCATTGAGTAGAAGTCGTTCTCTGATGCTGTTTGGCCATATTCAAGGAGCTGTAGCAAAATTGAGCTGTTTGAAGATTTCATTTTGCCACATTGGGTTATACTCACGGATCCTTTAGCATAAACGCCTCGAAGGGCGACCGACATATAGTGTACCACAGGAACACGAGTATTGTTGAACAAGCATTGACCGAACCAACGATAATAGTTTATCTTTCAAGAGCCTGTTAAGCAGTGGCTCATTACATAAGCCATGCAACATCCGAGAACTTCAGAGTGCTCTACTCATTGCCTGAACGTTACTCGCGATGCTTCCGCGAACAAATGCTATCCATTTCCATGTATGTTCATGTGTTGAACACAAATATGACAGTCAAAAATGAAAGTTGGCTGTTTTCTCTTATCAGCGATAAGTGTTTACATCAAATGAATAACAATAGTTTTCATATAAAAAGGTTAATACCTTTAAACATATCGACTATTCATTTTTGTCTTTGTGCACACGCCGTGCGTCTTGATTGCGACGCGCAATATCGATTGTGGCTACAGTTTGCTTTAAAGCAAAACTATGCCATTTTAATCGCTGGAACCGCATCCGAACTTTAACGTTTCCGAGTTGTAGTGTTAGGAGAGAGCAGGTCCGAAACTCATCGATTGCTTCTTAAATCTCTTTGTCTGTCCCTTGTCCAGTTGATATCTTGCTAGTCGCCAGCGGTAGTCAACCACCATGATGGTGGTCCATTTTCCTTGGTAGCGTTGTTCCGTTGCTGTTATATCTTTTTGAGTACGTTCACCATGTTCATCACTAACCATACTGCGCTTTTCAAGGAAAAAATCCAGCTGTTAATGGAGAAACTAGATCTTTTGAGACATACTGCTGCCAAATTTCTGGTACTATTTCTGCATTTCTTTTGCTACTTTTCGTTTCGTACCCTAACATTTCTAAAAAGTTGAGTATGCACTAAGCAGAAAGCATTCCAAGCTTGTGTTACATCACCCTGCTACAAGTTGCTAAAGTGGTCAGATGTGAATAGCTGTTGAATCTGAGGACCTACAAAACTCTGCTTCGCTGGGTCGAAATTTTTCATGCACGTATCTTAACGCTAGTGTAGTTCAGTCCATGGCTTCCACGGAGTTCCTCATCAAACCCAGTTTTAAGTGTATGGGCGAGAGCAGGATTTTGTTAGCTGCGCTGTGCATATTGTTCACCCCAACTGTTATAGTCTGTTTGCGAGTCCATTCCTTCCCCATATGTAACTCTCTTGCTCGCTTACACCACTTTCACAGGAAGCGGCAGTATTTTGTATAGCTCAGCTGCAGTCTCACTAAAAGCTCAACTGTCCTCGAATCGCCACAATGATGCTAGCTATAATTGTTATACTCAATGAAATCTAACAGCTGCTTTAAACTATCCTACGTCTGTTTCATCTGGACAGCATGCCCTATTGGAATAGATGTGACATGGTTTCCATTGTCAACAGCACCGTCTCGCAAATAGTCTGCTTTCTTATGAGCTTTGGGTGTATCCTAAGGTCTTCACAATGCCTCCAATATCGGTACAGAATACTGCATCGCCTTACTTTCTGAAGGAAAGCTCTAACTACTGTTGGCGCTTTCGATGTGAAGAAATTCTGACATCACTAGTTTTGCTCGAAGCTCAGTACCTGCCAACATTCTACTTGCTATTAAGCACTGATGGTACCCCTTCGATTTGTGGCGAAACGTATGCAGTCAACTTCCTCAGGTTGGAGAGCTAATAATGACTTTAATTATAATACCTTCTAGAACACAGATTTCATTGTTCTGTGTGAGATTGATGATGCACGGTGGTTAAAATCTGGATCACTGCATGCCGACAGACCAGGAGGAAGGCTTCAGCATTACGCCGGTACGCTGTACCGACTCTTCGCTGCCGCGCAACCACCACCAGTCGCATCCGGTCCAAGGATACCGCGAGGGTCCCCCGGGTTCTCCAAGCAAACTCAAACCCGCGCCCTCGGACTATAAGGCAGGCCTTTGATCCTTAAGTCCACGGGGCGGCCGACTTTGGTTCCAGACCCGTAGCCTGAAGCATCACAAGCATCCGACGTAATCCGATGGCGCGAGTTTGAGCCTGCTTGAAGGACTGGGTGACCATCGCAATCTCCTTAGCCCACGTGCGACTTATGGTTGCGCAGCAACTAAGCATCGGTCCTGCGTACCGGCGTACTGTTGATGCCTAACACGGATGACAGACTAGAACGACAGATCCACTCACCCTTGTCCTCACCAGCTGAGTCCGGAAAATATTCTGGTTTTAAATCACATACTTAATCACATCCCATGGTTATTATAAACCCTACATGGATGATATGTTCATTATTTGTGACACTCATACTGAATCAATTTAACAACGCGCATCCATTGTTGAAGTTCACTTGCGAGATTGAGGAGGAGAGGAAGCTGCCGTTCTTGGATGTTTTGCCGCGACGACAAGTGGACAGGTCGCTTGAGAGAAAGGTTTTCCGCAAGCCAACTTGGGTAGGTCAGTACACGCATTTCTACAGTTTCGTACCGATATAGTACAAACGAAACTTGGTACGTGGTCTGTGCTATCGGGCTACAAGGATTTGCAGACCTGAGATATTGGCAGCGGAAAGAATTTCATACTCAAGATAACGGGTACCCAACTGCTTTCCTTAAAAAGCATTTCCTGCTCTGAGCTGCGTTTAGGGAGAAAATGATGATGAGAAGAAAGAACGTTTTCCTCTCAGTACCTTTCAGATGAGACATACAATTCAAGCTCTTGAGTAGAAAATTGACTTCCGCACTAAACCAAGTGTACCCGGTCGCCACAGTCCGTATTCACGGCGAAGCTTTTCAGCTCATCACCAACCGCCTAAAAGACCGGATTCCGGCTCGATCCGAATCCTATGTCCTAATCCACTTCACGTGCACCTTAGTTGCGATACCTCGGACACACAACCAGACGTCTGTCAGAGTGGATAGCGGAACACTGTCCTATCTGATTACAACGTGGTACTCCTTTGTATGTCCACAGCTCCATCCTGCTGGTCACAGCAGAAGCGATGGCGATCAAGCAGCTCAAGCCGGAAATGTGTAAACAGCGAGTACTTTTGAAACGTTTAACGCTGCCGTAGCCCTAGCTTAGTCAGCTTGCTTCAACCATAGTGATCAATGGTAGTGGGTTCAAATTGACATCGACTGCTACCGTTCCTCTGGTCGCACCGTACTCGACTGATCGCGGAATCACTAGTACTAGCTTCTTTAACCATGATTGTGAGTCTCATAACTGTACTTTCCTGATGAGATTTGTCGAAAAGGAATTTCTACCAGTTTTCCTTTTATATAGGGTATTGCTGACGACCGCGTACTTCCCCAGCAATCAGTCAACCAACATAGCAGTACATCATCCATTTGGACTGATGCTTTTCTGCTACTCAATCATGGTGACCTATGGAATAAAGCATAATTTTAGGGAGAGAAGCGGGACTTACCTGAAAACCTTAATGCCCTAAGCAAATATTCAGAGTCAAGGCGCCTATACCTTGTGTTAGTAACATACCGCCACAAACAGCTGGTTATCATGCAAGGGTAATGCGGCATCGGCGAGACAGCTTCCTTGTGTCTTTCATTGC